CCAAATGAATTGAGTCATTGCTAAGCCATCGGCTAAATGAAAGAAAAGAAATTTGAATAAAAATCCGAGAGAATTTTATAAATCGAAAGTAAAAAAGTATATTCTCAAGCGTCATCCTATGAGGAATTTATAGTCTAAAATATCTTAAAGATAGAAGAAATATTCAAAATAAAATATCTTAAAAATAATCCAAAAGATTTATCTAAAGTATTTTTCTTATAATTCAAACTTAAATTCCTTAGATAATTTCATCCGTCCATCTTCTAGAAGATGCTGACTAGACTGCATTCTAGAAGTTGCTGTAGACTAGACGATTATGCTAGGTTAAAAAATGTCGTACCCCAAGTCATGCCCATTACTCCAGCCACGATTCAAAAAATAAAAAAAATGCATAATTTACTCTTTTACTGTTGGTTCTGGATAATAAGTTTATGAACAAAAATATGTCAAAACAGAACAAAATCAATAATATCAAATTAACAAAGAATAATGATTAACAAATTATATGCAAATTTGAACAGTTATCATCATGCCTAGAGTGATAATGACTAATTATATGTTGAAAGACTAAACAAATCTATCTATCGGATAATAAATTATAGATCACATACATTTATCGATTTTCACGTCGAGGTACTGTAATTATATGGAAGGTATAAAATTTCAAAAATTCTATAAAATAAGAATAGAAACATAATTTTTAAAGATATCCAGAGAAATACAACAAAAATCAATAATTTTTTTATAAATATTAAATCTAATCTTAATCATACTTAGAGAGAAGAGAAATGGAGATTTTAGGAAAATAGATAATAGTCTTATGAGTGCTTTTAAAACCGATGACCTAAAAAAATATGAAAATAAAGATAAGTAATTTGATCAACTAACCAAACATGCTTGCTCAAATCAATAACCTTTTTAATTACAATAAAATTTTTTATTCCTAAGGTCTATTAAAATTTAGGACAAATAACGAGTTTAGTATCTAAACTATCAGTTTTAGTTTGTTTTAGTGTCTAAACTTTTAATTTTTTTCAAAATCATAACTAACATTTAATTTTTATTTCATTTTAGTACCTTATTGTTAAAAACTTAACACTTTTAGTACCTAAACTATCAATTTTGGTTCATTTTAATACCCAAACTTTTATTTTTTTTTTAACTTATTTTTTATTTTTTAACAATGTACTAAAATGAAACAAAAATAAACATTTGAAATGATTTAAAAAATAAATATTAAAATATTAAAATTGATCAAAATTAAAAATTTAAATACTAAATGCTAAACCATAACTTACCTTAAGATTTAAAACCTTACGGCTAAACCATTAAAGGGGCGTTTGGTTGGCGTCATATTAGATTATCGGGGGAATGAAATGTCATTTCCCTGTTTGATTGGCAAACATTCTCAACCCCCGATAATCCTTTATTCCCAACAGTGATATTTTGGGAGTATATTACCGGGAATGTGATTACCCCCATTCCCTTTGGTATTGTTGGATTATCGACATTTTGGACTAAAATGCCCTTAATTTTTTTTTCAAAAATATCCTTATTCTGTCGTTGAATAACAAAAATTATATGAAGGTTAAATTATAAATTTATCTTTAAACTGTTTTAGATTTACAAAAAAAATATATAATTATAATTTTATATGAAGTTCAGAGGTAAAATAAAATTTTACCCTTTTATTAAATATATTTATCTTTTCAATTTTGTAAAAAAAATTATATAAATTTTATGAATTTAATTTTTAAATAAAATATATAAATTAATTATAGTAATATTATAGTAGAATTCAACTGGTTAAAAAAACAAATATATAATAAGGACAATTTGATAAAATATACATTCCAATAATATTTTATTCCTTTAACCAAACATTGTAATCTTACATTCTTGTTAAACGAACCAAACACAAAATACAACATTCCAATAATCTTAATCCCGTTGGTAATCATATTCACACTAATAATCTTATATTACATGAACCAAACGCATGCTAATTACAATGGCACGAGTATTTCAACTGTGAACCGCTCAAACTTTTGCCTCAGCTCTACATATCATAGGTTTGAATAAGTCGGTAATTCATTAACTTAATAAAAGAATCTCTCAAAATCTTTTAAAACTTAGTTATGACATTATTATACTCGTATATAACAGTCGTTACCTATATGTCACTAAATAATGTATTTTATTGAACTTTATATCACTAATCAAGTAGTAATTTTTAATTCTTAAACTAATAAATAAAAAATTTATTTAGTGATATTAATGGTAAAAAATATTGTTATTCTTAGAAGATATAGATTCGAACAATTACATTTATAAGATGTATGCTTATATTATCAGTAGATTAAAAATTCTAAACATACATTATCTTATGTTTATACTATACTATTAAAAAAATCAAACTAGTTTAGAGTATTAGTGTATTTTGAATTTGGTTTAAGAATGCACGAAGTTTTTAAACTTTTGAAAAAGTAATTAATTCTTTACTTTTTTATATTTAATTAAAATATTAAATTGAGAAATTAAATTAATTAAGTCTTTGAATTAAGAAATTCAACTAATTAAATTATTGGGTAAAATATATAAATAGTCTCCTAATTATATGGTGTTGTTTCATTGAGTTCTTCAATGATTAAAAGTTACAAAATGATCCCCTCACTATAGGATGTTATTTTGTTGAGTCATCTGACTATTAATAGTTACAAAATAGTCACACGACTCTTCGTTATATTCCAATTTAGTCTTTTTTCGTTAATAAGTTGACGACAATATGAGCTGAATGTTAATATATTATCTAAGATATGATAAAATTTGATCACAGAATCATACACAACTATCATATCTCAGAAACTAGATTAACACCTAACTCAAACTGTCGTTAATTTTTTAACGAAAAATGACGAGTTTAAAACATAATGAATAGTCAGATACCATTTTATAACTTTTAATAGTTGAGAGACTCAACAAAGCAAATCAACATTTTATAGTTGATGAATTATTTTGTAACTTCTAATAATCGATACACTCAATGAAATAATACTATATAGTCGAGAGATCATTTGTATACTTTACCCTGAGTTATTTATCTAATTTTGATGGTTAAGTTTTAACTTTTTTTTCTTGAGCAATTACCGTGACATATTGCAGTTTGGTAACGTGAAACTTGTAAAATCATAAAAACAAAATTATTAAAATTTTAAAATATTTTTATATAATTATAAAAAAATAAATAATACTTGACAATATATTTTATGATACATAACACTATCTAATCTAGAAACTTCTAAATTTGTTAGTCAACATTAATTAAACAAGTGAATTAATAAAATTTTAAAATACGAAAATTAAATTGAATTTTAAGGTAAAATATCAAAATTAACCTTAACGTTTACCTAGATATTATTTTGGTCCCTATTATTTTTTTAATCACTTTAACACTCAACATTTTAATTTTTGGTTAAAATAGCCTATAGTGGATGGAAACTATTAATTGACTAACGATCAACACATATTGTCAATGTGATATTTTGATATATGCTAATTGATGGTATGCCATATGTCATTTAATTTAAAGTGATGATGTGGCATGTGTTACATCACTCAAAGTGTTAATGTGGCATGTGACATATCATAGAAAATAATAACATGACATGTATCATGTCACTTAAGGTGATGTATCATATCTCATGTCATTTAAAATGATAATGTGGTATGTGTCATGTTATCCAATGTATTGATGTGATGTGTATCACGTCATTTAGGGTGCGTTTGGTTCATGAAATGTAACATTACCTCCGGGAATAAGATTATCAGAATGTTACATTACCTTATACATTACCGGGAATGTTACATTATTGTGTTTGATTTTGTTTGACAGGAATGTATGATTACAGTGTTTGGTTAAATGAATAAAATATTACTGTAATGCATACTTTACTAAATTGTCCTTATGATATATTTTTAACAAGTTGAATTTCAAATATTCAAATGAAAATATTATATAAAAATTCATAGAAATATATTATTGTATTATTTTCAAGTTATATATTTTTTATTAAAATTAAATTTATAAAATTTATATAATTTTTTTTACAAAATTTAAAAGATAAATGGGTAGATTAAAAGAGTAAATATACCATATATTCTTTTAATCTTAATTAATATTTAAAAAATTATGATAATAAATAAATAAAATTCCCGATTGGGAATATTTTTGAAATAAAGTAATGATAATATACTATAGCTTTTGAAATAAATCTTTTGTTTCAAGAGCATTTTAGTTCAAGTTGAAGGGAAACAAAAAATACCTAAGCCCACCATGAGTTAGCATTCACGATAAAATTTGAAAAATTTACTGTTGGGAATATTTTATTACTCCCTATTGGGAATCTTGCCCATCCAAACGTGGGTATCACAAGGAGGAAAAAAATATTCCTACCAGTAATGTTGAAATCCATGATCCAAAAGCCCTCTTAAGGTGATTATATGACACATTCCATGTCACTCAATGTGATGACATGACTTGTGACATGTCAGTAACTACACTCATATGAGAATATCATGTTAGCAACATGAGTTGATAATTAGTCGATCATTCATCTAGCTGAAATCATTTCGATAAAAAAACTGAAACATTAGGACTAAAATATTCTAAAAAAGAATAAAAGCTAAGGTGATCATTCGAATAAACATTAGAGGTTAATTTTAGTATTATATTTTTTTAAGGTTCCTTAAGCCAATTTGATTATATTAATTTATTTATGAATAATTTTTTGATACACAAATGATGGGAATTAATATGTATATATTCTTCTCTATTCCAGCCTTATAATCTAAAATAATAAACGTTAAACCTAAATCCTAAATAGTACATATCTCATTAAAATAATCTAAAACTTCCATAAACTTGTATCAGATATTTATTCAATATGTTACTATAAATGAGGTAGTCTACTTAATTGCTTCGTCCTTGAGCATCTCAACTAAAAAAATGTGTTCCGTTAAGAGGATGTCAAGCTCAAGATACAGTTTCCTCTGTAACTCGCTACTAATTCTCAGCTTTGCTGCTCTTGCATTTCTAATCCATGCCCAAGATCTATCCGGTTTGTTTTACATGAAACTAATAAGACCAATTTTATATCACAATGATGTTAATGCTATATTATTTTCAGGTTTCATAAGCTTAGACTGTGGGCTGTCAGAGGGTTCAAGCAACACTGATCCCGATACAGGCATAACATATATTTCAGATGCACCTTATATCCAAACTGGCTTAACTAGAAGGGTGTTGCCCGAGTTTAGAGACGGTTTACCTCAGAGGTATTGGACCGTTAGGAGTTTCCCGGAAGGAGACCGAAACTGTTACAACTTCACTCTCCGAAACGGAGACGTTTATTTGATCAGAGCAGGTTTCATTTATGGAAACTATGACGGAGAAAACATAGTACCAAAGTTTGATCTTTACGTAGGACCTCATTTCTGGGACACGATTGATTTAGGATCTGTGGATAATAAATTTTTCTACGACATCTTTCATGTTCTTCAATCCGATTATTTGTATGTCTGTCTAGTGAAAACTGGGAATGAGGTGCCTTGCATATCATTTCTCCAGTTGATTCCTATCGATAACACAACTTATCCGACTCTGTCTATAACAGAATCGCTCGATCATTATGCAAGATACGACGTTGGTTTGCCTTCCGGTGAGGATGCTATCGGGTGAGCCATTACTAATTAATTTCCGGTTTTATCATTAGGTTCATAACCCCCTCATATTATTTATTAATTAGCGGCACCTTGACAGGTTTCCCCAAGACGTTTTCGATCGATATTGGTATCATTATGTAAGGAATGATTGGGCGCAAATAAATACCTCTTCAACTGTCCTAGGCTCTGGAAATGATACTCCATCGGTTGTGATGAGCACTGCAGGTACGCCCGTAAATGCTAGTCTGCCGATGGATATATCCATGAGCAGTTCAAGCACCGATGCCCGCTACTACGTGTACATGCACTTTGCAGAAGTTGAAATTCTCCGAGCCAACGAATCCAGGGAGTTCATCATCTATCTTAATGGGAATCTTTGGTATGGACCTTTTAGTCCTACGTATTTGAGCACAAATACAGTATACAACCCATCGCCTCTCAAAGATATCAATTTTACAATCGAAAGAACCAATGGTTCAACCCTTCCGCCCATCCTTAATGCCTTTGAGATTTTTGAGGTAAAAGATTTCTCCCAGCCTCAAACCAATGACAGAGATGGTAAGTTGTCAAACTACCAACCTGTGTTGTTTGTATATATGTGCTTTCCCTCGACCTGTCGATCTAATTCCGGTTCTCTCGTATACATGGTAGTTGACGCTATTGTGAACATACAATCCATGTATGGATTAAAGAGAAACTGGCAGGGAGATCCTTGTCTTCCTAAAAACTTCTTGTGGAAAGGACTTAATTGCACCTACGATGATACTAATCCTCAAAGAATCATATCTTTGTAAGTCTTGCATGTGCCTGCCCCTTAGGTTTTAGGCAAGCAAGGATCTTTTTCGATTGTTGTTAATTTACAAAACTTTCTGGCCATGTAATCAGGAATTTGTCATCTAGCAATTTGAATGGAGAGATACCTAATGTTATAGCCAATCTCACTCAATTACAGCACCTGTAAGTGTCTCCAATCTCCATCTTCACGTGTTAATTTCGGGTACTCTTATTAATGGTGATGAAGGAATTTATTAGGCTCACTTATTGTTATATTATCAGGGACTTATCAAACAACCGTTTGACCGGACCAGTGCCTGAATTTCTGGCTAACCTGCAATTCTTGACTCTACTGTAAGTTATTTGGAAATCTGAGACTACTTCAAATAGAGAAGTGATAACTGAGGAAATACAACCACCGTTCTTTGCAGAAATTTGAGTAGAAACATGCTTAATGGTTCAATTCCAGCAAGACTCATGGAAAGGGTAAACCAGGGTCAACTAGATTTAATGTATGATTTCCTTCTTATTTATAATATTGAATGTTCACATGCTTATAGCCGTAATTGGAAAATTCAATCCAAGTTCCTTTTTTGGACTAACTGAAATTGATTGGGGGTATGGATGAAAACGCAAGTGCCATCTGTATATCCGGTTGCGGCAACAACGACCCCAACAACGACAACAACATAGTTGTCCCTGTAGTAGCATCAGTTGCATCAGTAGCTTTGGTCCTCGTAATTGTTTGGGCCACCTTATGGAATATTAGAAGAAGAGCAAGAAAACAGCTTGGTATGATCGTTATTGCAGAAAATTTTGGAAGATCCAAATTTATATTTCTTCCCTTATAGTCTTATTGAATTTATTTCAGTTTTGTCCTTGGACCACCAGAACACTGATGTCGTCGATTCCAAAAAAACAAACCCATTACTGGGCTCATCAAAGAACCGACGGTTCACGCATGCTCAGGTCATAAAGACGACAAACAATTTTGGAACAGTTGTTGGTAAAGGAGGATTCGGAACAGTTTATCACGGCTACTTAGAAGAAACTCAAGTAGCCGTCAAAATGCTGTCTCCATTTTCAGCTCAAGGTTATCAGCAGTTTCAAGCCGAGGTATAACATCTATTAACAAATCCCTCATCAATTTGAAAGCTAAATATATACGACTGTTTAAAATATCTAAGTTACCCTTTCCAGGTGGAACTTCTTTTGAGAGTTCATCATAGAAATTTGACCACGCTTATTGGGTATTGCGATGATGGCAACAACATGGGGCTCATCTATGAGTACATGGCAAAAGGAAACTTAGCAGAGCATCTCAAAGGTTAGATTATGCCCTGATGGCGTATATCATAAATGGCTGTCCCTTGTTGGGGTAAGGGAGAGGTAAGATAGTAGGCTGCTCCCAATACTAGGTTGAGAGCAGTTTCCGTAGGAGACCTTCAAATTATGAAATGCCCTCCATAGGACTCGATCATATGGCGTACATCATCAATGCATTAAATATTAATTTTAAATTGAAATTGAAATTAAAAATTATTGTTTGTAGATAGCAGCAGAGGTATCCTGAATTGGGAAGCAAGGATTGGCATAGCCCTGGAAGCTGCACAAGGTCAGCAGGATTGCATGCCTGCATCCATACTTATGTGTCAACCTAATACAGTTTAAAAATAACTAATGGTAGAGCTAATTAAAACGAAATGCAGGACTAGAATATTTGCACCGCGGTTGCACACCACCTATAGTCCACAGAGATGTGAAGTCCACCAACATATTGTTAACTGAAAGCCTGCATGCCAAGCTCTCTGATTTTGGGCTGTCCAAAGCATTTCCACTCGAAGGCGACAGTCATGTCATTACTGTTGTTGCCGGTACCCCAGGATATCTCGACCCTGAGTAAGTAAATCTGGCCTTGGCTCTCAGCTGCTTCCAAAACATTATATTACGAATCTCCAGAACCATCCATGTTTGCAATGCAGGTATTCTACATCGAACAGGTTGACGGAGAAAAGTGATGTATATAGCTTCGGGATAGTCTTGTTGGAGATCATCACAAACAGACCAGTGACGATGAAAACGTATAATCAGACTACACATATAAGCCAATGGGTTAGTTTGATGTTATCCAATTGCGATATCAAAACCATTGCTGATTCAAGGTTGCAGGGAGACTTTGACATTGCCTCTATGAAGAAAGCAGTTGAATTGGCTATGGCTTGCGTATCTCCAACTTCGACAAAAAGGCCAACCATGACTTACATTGTCGCCGAATTGAATGAGTGCCTGTCGGCCGAGATCAACAGGAACCACAACTTTCAGTTAAGTCCCAACTCAAGTGAATATATTATTTCATCACCTAATACCAGGTGATTTTGCAAATTCTATTGGTATAATTTAACCGGGTCAACTCGAAAGGTTTTATTGTCGATACGTGAATATGTAAAGGTTTGTATTTGATGCTTTGATCGGTGTGTTAGTTTTACAGTGTCCATAATATCTCTGTACCATATATATTAACAGGGGTTTGACCCCGTAATTAGGATTGAGTTGTAGGTTGTCGATAGTTTGGAAGCTGCTCGTTTTTAAGATTGGAAATTTTATAATTTCTATTGTATAAACACGTCTGTCATCATTATGGTATTTTATTTATATAAAATAATCTTACACGATAATCATATTTCCCAAAATAAATTTGAACTCCTTGAATCAAACTAACATGCTCTTGCATTCCTAGCTCTGTCGATAAAGCCAAAGTCCAAATTTTTTAACTGGTTTTCTTTTCTACTTGATATCAATTAAGGGTCTTTTAGATTATATTTTTCTAATACATGTATGTTTCGCTTAGGAGTGTTTTTTCTCTATATATATTCTAATTTATGAGTTAGTAATAAATTAGTTTTACATTGTAATTAAGATTTTCAATTTGAATCTTATAATTTATTATGATTAAATTAAATTTTGGTACGTTAAAACATGAATTCTATTTTTTTTAAAGAAATAGGAATTCTAATTATTCTTAAACATGTTCATAAATGAAAATCTTTGTGTATCACTTAGATGGGATAAAAAGAACAAGATGACTATTGTTCCAATAGTGGCATCAGTTGCTTCATTTTCTGTTCTAATGATTGCATTGGCTACTTCATGGTGGCTTAAAATAAGAAAACTTGAAGCACTTTAAAGGTTTTTGGCTTCATAAGATCTATAGGATTTTGGTTTTATGGGTCGGGGTTGGATCATTTAGGAGATGGTGTCGCTTGTGAGGTTATTTCTGTTAAAGGTAATCTATTGTTTGGGTTGGAGAGATAGTTTCGTAATGATTGTCTCCATTGTGAAGGCTGATTTCTATTGTTGTTCCCTTGTTATTATTGATCTGTTGTGAGGATGTTCTTTTTTGTTAGGATATTTATTGCTCTTTAAGTTCGATGGTTTGAGAAATATCCGGATTATATCCAAGTCAAATCGTGAGCACTTCAGACGCTAGTTGAACGTTGTACTAATGATGTGTGACCCAGACACGTACCGAGTACTATAGAGGAGTAGATTGGCAGGACATAGGCTCTGATGTTATGTGACCGTGGAGGTGTCCTAGGTAATGGGAAATAAGGGCATTTCTAGATGAAGATTTTGATGCTAAGTGACTTGGGTCTTATCTAGGGTACCTTTGGCAAGATAGAATGGTATGAGTCCCGAGATGCTAAGTGACCCTCCGACTACACCATGATGCATACCCTTGTTTGTGTGATTGTACCTGGCGTATTTGTGATATCGGTACTATCATTGTGTGTTGCATGATGATGCATTATAGGATGATACCGAGGATAAAGACCTAGTATACGTTTACTCATGGCAAGACCCTTAGTGGAGACTAAGGGAAGCATGAGACTTACGCTAAAAAAAGATTATACTACTGGGCTTGATTAGGATCATGCATGCACCTACTACTTATTACCATGTCTTCTAGCATGCTTATGTTTATGAGATTCATATGTTCCATGTATTAGCGATTATACTACTGGGCTTTGTAAGCTTCACGTTCGGATGTTTCCGTTCACATGCTAGTATATCGAGCCGTTCGAGGAGCACCGTCGCAACAAGATTTCCAGTATTTCATCTAAGAGTACTAGTTGATTACTTGTAGTAGGCATGTGTATTCATACGACCCTTACTTATATATTATGATTTGTAACTTTGAATTATATTAATTGTTTTAAACTGTCATGGAGCTCGGATTTATAAAAAAATTATTATTATTTAAACTATTGGTTTTTAAATGATGATTATAAGTATTTATTCAAAAAAAATGTTAGCCACTTCGGTGATTTATGTGACATTCAAACCCTCCAGACTTCAGGTTGAATCGGATTAGGGTGTTACATTTAATTTAATTATCATATAGTTTAATTTACAATTAAAGAGATGGGTATAAGATTTTATGCCCGATGTTAACTAATAAAATTATATGGAAAAATAGATTATCAATAAAATATATAAAAAATATCTAAAATATAAGAGAATTTAAAAATTTTAGAGAATGACGATTTGCTCATCATCTTAAATCTATCCGTGATTAATAGGTCAATGAGAAAAATCAAACAAAATGTAATTTTTAGTTCAAGTTTTACTATTGATATATTCAGATTTTAGTGATTAAAGATAATGTTTACCTCCTTAAATATCAAAGATTTGAGAAACTAATTCTGAATAAATACTATGTCTTGTAACCTCCCTAAAATCTGAATTTCACCCCACATTAATAGCAAATATTCTCTTTTAAGCCAAACTCCAAAAGAGAGCGTGAATTTAGCCCCCACGTATTCATTTGTGATTTGTCATTTGCCCACTCACCCACCCAACCCCCTACGATTAATCCGTTTAGTGCACGTTCTAACTCCCACATGAAAACCAACCCCTCCAGAACCTCCCAGTTTCTTACAAAAACAAAAGCATGATAGAAAAATAAGGAAGAAACAAAACATTAGCTCGAAAAGAGACGATCTTTAACGGATTTTTAGTAAAAGGATTGACCAAAATTCGGAAGAACTAATCAAATGTGACCGTCAAAACCCAAACCACTTAATTACTCACGTGTCACTTTTCCATTTTGACCACATTGGGATTTGCTTCTTTTAAATGTAAAAATCTGTTTTTGATTTTCCCTGAAATTTCTGTTGCTTTTTCGTTGTACCGAATACTCAATGAAGACACGACATATCAACCACATTATCTAAATAAAAGGGGCCAAGTTGACGTGGCAGGATCTTCGTTGTTGTCTGGTCATGGAGAAAATGCGATATGTCCTAGAAAGTGGATAGAGATAAGTGTGGGGTCCCAAAGGGTGAATTATTTAGTTTTCGTTTTCCATGGCATTGATGAAGCTTTATGCTTTTGGGTGATGAAGAGAGAAAAGATTCTTCTCTTGTGGAATTCTAAGGCAACTATTGTTCTCTAGCAGTATCTATCTTCACTCTTCCCCACTCTCTTCTTCTTTCCTGCTTTTATTTGTTTTTTACATTACTTTTTTATTGGGAAGATTCTCGTTTTACTTTTTTGGGGAACTTTTACGAATCGGCTTTGTTGAAAAAAGAAAAGGAGCGTTAGTTGTTATTTGAGCTAAAAAGTTTGTGTTTTTACTCGATCAAGAGGGTAGATATTGGTGAAATTTGTGTTTTTACTATCCGTAGCTAGATTTGTTATAAGTCGTCTGGGTTATTGATTTTTGGAGCAAAAGCTTTGGTTTTTATGGATATTAGCATAACTTCCTGTTACTTTAAGCAATTTTCACGAGTTCTTGTTTTGTTGTTTATGGTTTTCAGTCAGAAGACCTGTTTTTCTGAGGTGGGTTGAACATCTTTGGATGGATAGAGTTCTGAATTCTTCTAGTTCCAAAACCAAAAGACTTGTGTTTTCTGGGTGCTTCAGAAAAATTTCAATTCAATTGCTATCTGGGGAATAAACTTGTGTTCATCGTTGAATTTGAGTGTTTTGATGGTGGAAGAACCTGTTACTTTGAGTTAAAAGTTTGTGGTGAATTAAAGACTTGGAAACGATGATGAAAAGAAGAAAAGAGGACGCAAAGGTGACGAGTCCTATGTTTCCTAGGCTTCATGTGAATGATACAGAAAAAGGGGGGCCAAAGGCACCTCCAAGGAACAAAATGGCCCTCTATGAGCAACTCAGTATCCCTTCCCAAAGGTTCAACGCTGGATCACTCCCACCAAATAATACCAACAACTTGGTTCCTTCAATATCATCAAGCCATGTAAGTTCTCTATTTTTTTAATGATTTTTCCTTAAATCCTTAGATTCAATTGTTTTCTTCAAAATTCACCTTTAGTGTTCTCGGAGCAATATGATGCCGTTGTTTCTTCCCATTTTATGTTTGTATGACAAGAAATGGTTCGTATATGTAGGGTGAAGGTAATGAAACTAGTATGCTTATGCCGCTTGAATACCCCCATGAATCTTCGATTCTGGCTGAGAAGTTTATTCTTATTCCATCCACGGGACTAAAATGAGTACCACCATAGAAAATCAAGATAATAAATTCTCGAAAGCCATAGATTACCATAGTTTGGATACTGATCCACCAACTCCAGTTGTTTCTGCAAAAAATGCATTTCAGCCTCGCTATTTCTCCAGCTTTAAGAAAGTTTCTGCGAGAAAGCTAGTCAACGATGATGACCTTAGGGTTCCTACCTCTGCTCGGTCCGGAATGGGTCGAAACAGCAACTGCAGTAAGCAGGATGAAAACCTGAAACATTTTCCTAAACTGAACTTGAGTTCTTCAAAGCAACCTCGTAGTGCTAATGGAAGTTCTGTAGGTCCAAAGTCCAGAAGATATATGGGGAACCAGGGTGAGGAGAATGGAAAATTATTTCAAAGCAATCAAGATATCATGGAAAGATCTAATTCAACCAGAGATAATATCTTACCTGATACATCATCCGACCTGTCTGCCAAAATCAAGGTTTCAAAATCATTGAAACGAACACATGATTCATGTAACAGAGAAACCAAAAGCAGCTCAGTGGATATATTGAACAGTGAAGTTCCAGTACTTTCTTCCAAGGTGAGAAATGAGTCATGCTTGAGACAATCACTTGGAGTTGATAATGGAAGTCCGAATGCGCTTGAAAATATACGTAAGGCTGTTGAAGAAAAGAATGCTGGGGCTATGCAAATTGGGGGTGTGAACATACATAATAATGTCCCAAGTACCTCCATGGTGGAGTCCCTGTCTCATTCGGACATATGCCCTGATGATATTGTGGGAGTAATAGGTCATAAGCATTTCTGGAAAGTACGAAGAGCTATTGTCAAGTAAGTGTCCCACTTCTGTTTTATGTGCATTCGCAATAGCTAATGAACATCTTCCGGCTCATAATAAATAGGACTAGGTGTGTATCCTGCAGGTACTCTTCAGTAATATCGTTTACACCTTACTTTCTATGTCATTTCTTGTAAAATCGGTTTAC